CTCGGTTCCGGAGCATCGTCGGTGGGACCGGCCGGGCTAAAGCGGGTGGAGGACTAACGCGGAGGGAACAACAGGTCGCCCTTGTCCTCGCCTTCCAAAGCGACACCGGCGCCTTGCTCTTGGGATTATAAATGTTTGAACTAAGACCCAGGAAACTGGAAGGAGAGCCTCCCGTTGGAATTAGTAGAAGAGAAAAGAAGGGAGGCTTTTCCAAATCCTTTACGAGAAAGCTCGTGCCGATTTCCCGTGCTGTCCATACGCTCTTTAATAATGCAATTGTGACCTGAGTGGAATTCATGAGCAATGAACTATTGAAGCTTGTTGCACCACTGCATGAGACTACATTTTTTTTTTTTTTTTTTTTTTTTTTCTCAGCACATGATTCCCCCATCCCAGCTGTTGCAGGACCTATGGGCCAGTAATAGAGGGATGGGAAGCTGAGACAGTTTATTTTCACATTCTTCTGTTCTGGACTTGGCTAGTTAGCTGAAGCTGCTGCTGCTGCTTTTTACTGGATCTGTTCTTGGCAGGTTTATTTGTTTTCATGTGCATGGGGTGTTTCAATTAAATAGACATTGGACTAGAGCTGAATGGATGCTTTGCAATCCAAAAAGTTTTTTGGGGTAACAAAAAACTACTAAAAACAGAAGAACTGGTACTGCAGGAAACCTGGGGCCTGTTTTCCAAGCCTTTTTATTTTATTGAGCAAGGTAAATAATGTAGTGGTTTTGAAAATACAGGGCTTATGGTAATCATGCATGAAAATGTTATAAAGCACTTCAGGCTGTTCCAGGTCTTTCAGGGGATTGAGAGGTCCCACTGTAAGGCTCAGAATAAGTTTAATAGTTCTTTAAAATGCGTGGATATGAGTGTGGAATTTAAGGCTGAGAACAAACTTTGTGGTACCTGAGAGATTGAGCGAACTATTTTTCTGATTTGCCTTAGGTTCACGTAGGTTTGTGATGTTGAGAGAGGCTGTCTGAAGAACTTGAGAAGTCTTAGTGGTTCAGTGAGTGTCCAGTAATTATGTTAGTGGGGTTTTTTCGCATGCTTTTTAAAAAAACTGGATGCCTTAGCCTCTTGTAAGGATCTGTTAGGGTCTCTTAAAAGTCCTTCCAATTTAACAGTAGTACAGTATTTACATTTGCATTGTTAATTGTATTCATACTCTGCCTTGAATTATTTTTGCTTACCTTTCCTTTTGTTATCCACAGTGACAGCTGCTACCACTTCATAATGATTTTTTTTTTCTTTTTATCTTCCTTTACATGTCTATTTCCTGAAATGGACTATTTGGATTTACTACTAATTTACATGCATCACTTTACCATAGACTTTCTACAGCCAGCAGAAGCTCAAAGTACTGTTTTAGATGCTATCTTTTATGTTTCAGGCGTTGGAAGAAGCAGATAATGATTCTCAAAATATGCAGTGTAATCAGTTACTGGTTTAAGTGTATAATTTTTGGTGGCATACTGCATGCCTTATCTTTGTTGTTTTAAAGATCTCAGCAACAGTTTACTCTTAACAAAAATATAAATCCATTAAAATGAGATCACAGTTTGAAACGTAGCAGTAAAAATCTGGTTTTGCAAGAAGTCACAAGATTCTCATTATGAAGTGATGTGTTGATTAAATTGATTGTATACCTTTTCTCCTGCAGTCTTAATGAAATAGTGGCAAATGCTAAGGTGTTGGCAACCTTTGCTGATGCTATCGATGGGAAAGCTAAGTTGGCATTATGGGTAGTATCCAAAATTCCTCAGCTTATCCTGTTTAGATTTGTTTGACTTAAATTTATGGTCTTTGTTTTGTCTTATTTTGTTTCAAGATGATGTGTGAGGTGATGCCAACCATCAGTGAGGCAGAGATTCCCTCTGGGGGAAATGGAGGCCATGGTTCAGGTTCCCCGTTACAGTCAGATGCTGATTCCCATTTTGAGCAATTAATGGTGTCCATGTTGGAAGAAAGGGATCGCCTTCTGGAAACACTAAGAGAAACTCAGGAGACACTAGCGTTGACCCAGGGCAAGCTACATGAAGTTGGTCATGAGAGAGATTCCTTGCAGAGACAGCTCAATACTGCACTTCCACAGGTATGGACGTTTTGAAAGGAAGGTATCTTTCAATAATTTTTGTATTCTTTGTGGGGCTTTTTGTTGTCTTTTTGTATATTTAATTCACTGAAGTGAATGTTAGAGGAAGATCAGTCTAGCTTAGTACTTTCCTGAAGTATCTGTTGTTGCTTGCTCACTTTCAGAAAGATATAAAAGCAAGGCAAGCGGGGAACATCAGCCCTTACCCTCCAGTATGCTTTCCTAGTTTCTGGCATTTCTTTGGCTTAGCTTGAGCGTGAAGTCTTATCTACATCCTTTTATTTACTAGAACTTGATGGACTTTCTTCTGCCACTAGTATTTTTTAGTGTTGTTTCTAACTGCCTCATTCATTCACGTGCTTAAGAATTACGTACAGGCCATTCTGGGAAAGTGGGCTGTTCTGATACAGTTATGGACTTTGTTTTAAAAACTTGAAAAGTTTGAGTGCTACCTTGTGAATACATGCTGAGTTGTCATGGCAATGTAGAAATCAGAGTGCGTTAACTCATGTAGTTCCTTTTGGAGAGTTTGGATTTGTTTGGTTTGGGTTTTTTTGTCTTGCTAGGCGTTACCAATTATTGACTTCTGGAGGCTGCAGTGTACCAACACACAGCCTGTATTGCTAGATGTGTTAATAGGGCAGTAGTGTATAGTTAGAAAAGGTGATTGGTGTCTACAGAACTTCTCGGGTTTTATCCATTCTAGTTAACAAGGATACAACTGAACTTTGAACGCTTTGAAAAGCAAAGCAGAGGCCGCTTTCAGGTGTCAGTTAACTGTTGATAGCTTTATACTTTCTTGCACTTTGTTGCCCCAGGTATGTCATGATGATGCTATACTTGCATACATTATTCCAAGAATACTTATTATTTTTACAAATGTTTACATGTCCTTAAATATTACCGTTTATAAGCTTTAAAACAGTAGTTTTAAACTCTTCTGTTTCCACTGCTCTCATTAGAATGCAATCACTGTATGGCTCTTGGTATGGTAATTGGTACTGGCAATTACTCAGGGTTAGAAACTAAAAAGGAGGAATACATGTTAATCTAGTTGTGTTACAACGGTATGATGGAAATCAGAAAGGAGAAGTTTCCAGCCTCTGCTGCTCCCTCTGTTAAACCATGTGCTGCAGGCAAAAATTGTTCTTTGTTTTGTTTTTTTTTTTGTTGTTGTTGTAATAATTGTGGCTTCTCTTTAGCCGCTATTTCAGGTCTGCTACATTAATGCATGCCATTAACCAATTGTATGATCTGTAAACTATTATACTTGAATTTGTGGCTGAGTAGAATCACCCAAGCTCTAAACTGCACTGTTCCTCTTTTCCCTTTTCAATTTTCAGTTTTCCTTCCTAAATCTAGTAAGCTATTTACACGTAAACATTTCTTTCTAAACATTTACTCAAAGATTAATGCAGTTAAAAAAACAGTTCCCATTTTCAAGAATGTCATAACTGTATGATTTCATGTCAAATCTGTAGGAAAGCAAGCTTTGTAGTTCAGTTGAGAGAAATTTTATTGCAATTTTTTTATAAATATACAGCAGTGTATGGATTTTTATAGATGGCTGTTGAGAAATACTGTTGTGGTGTGAAAACTGACACTCTTGTCCTCAGTGGTGCTTAAGCTCAAATGATTGTGGAAGGTGATGATGATGCTTTCAAAAGTCAAAAATATTTTATTATTCTTGCTACAATTAGAAATAACTTCTGTATTTCCCAAGTTGTTGTTGTGGTAAAGAGTTAGTTACTTCATAGGTGTAAATTTCTGATGAGGTGAAAAGATGTGGTTTGTTTTTTTTTTTTTCTAAATTCTAGTAAGTGTTCACTAGTAAAACTTCATGGTGACTGTAATATTTGAAACTATTCAAACTTTTTTGTTGATTATTTTAAGCTGAGCATTCTTTTGAACTACTGTCTCAAATGATGCGTTATTTAGTTGTGGATTTCAAGGAGAGGTAGAAGCAGGATAACTAAATTTACGTTCAGGAAAGAAGGGATTTAGTAGTGTATGTATTTTAAAGGGTTTTTTTATTGTAGTTGTTTTTAATTTACTAGAAAGAGGTGTGAAGATCAACTTGTAGTTGATCAACAAGTAGTTGTACAAATACTAGTATAATTGCATGAATTACTAAATCACTATGTAACCAAGGTATTATTTCTCCCTCAGACTTGGTATGTACCTTATAACATGTATTTGTAGTTGATTTTGAAGTACTTTATCGTAAGGCTTATTGAATTGAAGTGTTTGTATACTTCTCCTGTTTTATATATTTAGCTGAATCAGCCAGTTAGACCGTTCTGATGAGTGATGGAAACTCCCTGTATAAAAAAAGGAATGCCAGATTGATTGCTTCTATACCAAAACTACTCCTCTGTTTTTTTAGTATTTTTATTTACTCAATTTCTGATGGCATCCTTGTACTTAATTTCTTACATTCACCGAGTTTCTGTCTATAAGGAAGAGGCTCATACTGCTGTGTATATAGTTACAAAATGGCAAATTGGTACTCGTGTATTTGCACATCTTGTAGATTATAAAAGTAAATGCAATTTATCCTGCAGCAGTGATGTGCATTCTCTGAAGTGTCAGAGCAGTAGACTTTACTAGTATACTTGTAGCATGGTGGTCAGCTAGTAGTTCAGTTCTAGCTCGCGTAAACCCAAAACAACTATTTGCAGTAAGACTTCTATTGTAGATGTCTAATTCACAGAGATAAGAGTGTTCTAATCTTCTATAGATGTGCATCTACACAGAGTAAAACTGACAAGTTTTTCTTGTATGGACAGCTGGAAATGAAATACGTCAACATGGTCTTGATAAAATAACTGGATTCTTGGCAATGCTTTTTGTTTTCTGGGAGTTACCTTCTATTACAGATTACCCTAGTCAAACTGTACACTGACCTTGGAAGATGAACTTGATGAAATCAAATTGCTGTGCAAGAACTTAAAATGAATTTTATTCTTCCTCGAATTTGTCGCAGAAAAAATGAAAATGAACTTTCTACTTTGAGAACTTTAGAGACCATTTATTTTTAATGTAAACACATTCAGTTATGATTTAATTATGGTCTTAGTGGATTTAATTATGCCCTTTGTGTGCCTTCTAGAATGTATTCTACAAAATTCAGGATTTGTGTGCTTAAAATTTATAAGTTAATCTGTGAAACATACAGGACACAACTGCATTTAAAAGTTAAATTTGGAACTTAAGGTAGATGAGGTCCAAGTGACTACCAGTTTTTGTTATTAAGGCGTTGCAGCCTAGGGTTCAGTTTGCTGGTAGAATTTCATATAGAAATTTCTCTAAATGACAACAACATACTTGTTTTGGGTGGAGAAGACTGGAGTTTAATTTACAGCGTTTCTGGTACCTAGCACAAATAAAAGCAAAGTTGCCTAATTCACAGCAACTCTTATCAGGATGACAGTTTTAATATATAAAGAATTTTATAAGCTGATGTACAAATATTATGCTTCTGTAATTCAGCAACACTCTTATTAAGATCCATCTTAATCTTGCACTTCTAATCTTTTGGTCTTAAATTTATCGTACTTTGTTTTCATTCCTATGCAAGGTAAGTAAAATAAAAGTTTGAAATTTTTTTTCTGTGTTTGTGATGGTCCTGTTCAGAATTCCTGTATTCAGCAACGTGTACGTAGGGGCAGATGATACCTTTCTGTCAGAGGTAATATGGAGCTAAATGTGGGGAAAAAAAGCTGCCTACAATTTTGGTTTGGCTTCAGCTTTACTAGGTTACCCATCGTATCTTAAAGCGCATCCCCAGCAGTCCATTTTTAGTTGCATTCTATCTATAGTAAATGTTTTATCACTACTACACGCTTCAGTTAAAAATAGCGTGTGCCTGTTTATATTTGTATTCAGTTAAATTCAGGTATGTCTCTATAGAATGATCTTCCTTAGACAATCTCAGAAATACTGTTTGATGTCTCGCACGTAAGAAATATCTAAACACTTGGCCTGAAGACTGCCCTGGTATTGTTTTATAATGATGAACTTAAGGATTTAGTTGCCATTTTAATAATGGTGGTGTTTGGATTTCCTCCAGACAAGTTTTAAATAATACAGGATGTAGTAGATGTAGAAATGAGGGCTTGAATTGTACATAATATGAAGAACACAGTTGCAGAAAGTACATTAAGGAAAGGGCTTGCCAAACTTTGCAACAGCTGAAATTTCCATAGCGTTTGAAGTGCAACTCCATTTGCAGTGTTCAGAACTGTTCAGCCTTGAGGTGACATAGCTTAATACTTCTTATTCTAGCAAGATGTGGTACTGACTTCTAAATAAAAGCCATTAGTCTCAGCAGTGAGCCCATGTGTCCAGAAATGGTAGAGATCCAAAAGGATTTCAGATGTGCAAATGTATGTCGGAGCAGGCATATCCTCCACTTCTCTCATCCCGTTCTGACAGCAAAGATGAACGTGACTCTTTCCGTTGCTTTTTCAGACAACTGTCATTTTAGTCTTGCCTATGTTGAGTTTCAGTTGCTAAATCTTGGCTCTTACTGTTAGTAAATTACTAGATAGATTTTTCTTTGCACTAGTTTAAGTCAGATGGAGATAGGAGTTAATGTTTAGAATTCTTCACTGACTGTATCAATAAACTTCAACTTCCCTAATGTTTCTTTCTTTGCAAGGCGTAGAAACAGACAACTTTTGTCCAAAACCTTCAGAATATGAAGTTATCTGAAAGTATGCTCTGTGATCGGTCAAAAAGAGGAGTAGCTACACTTCAGCTGTATAGTGGAGTATATTGAGGGCCAGGTCTCTAGTGTTTGTTCTGACTTCTTTGTTTCTCATTTAAATATGTTTGGGTGAGTTTGTTTATTGAAACCTCCCACCCCTACCCAGCAGACATCTGCTTGCCTATTGTTAGCAACTTGCTGTTTATACTGTGCTTTTAATTTAGGTTATCTTGATTATAAATAGCCCTTTTAGCTTGATTAAATTTAGAATTAAAGTTTTGTTGTATTT